CTAGTCAGAGGGACCAGTATGTGCAAAGACCCGGGGGTAGGAAAGAGCTTGGGGTATGTGAAGCCCTAAAGACAAGCTGGCTGGGGCCATGAGCAAGGGGGTAGGAGGCCTGAGGAGGTTGCAGAGTGGCTAGTGGCCTGCTATTCATCAGTCTACAGTGTGTCCGTCTGATGATACGTTCTCAGTATTTGAGCTCTTCTGCTATTGATGTGAATGGCCCAGCTTCTGTGTTCTGGAATAACCAGGTGCATGAAAGCTGGATTAAATGGTCCACCTCTGTCTCATAGCGGTCTGGGCAGGACCCACTCCTGCCATGCAGGACAGCTGTTTTTTTCCTCAAGCTCCGTGGGAGTGGGGCATCAAAGGAAGAGAAGAGATGTTTAGAGAGAGAATGAGACTTTTCCCCCACATCTAAAAAGCTTCCGGGCCTCCCCTGACTGTTGGGGGGAATGTGTCTCACTTGAAAATTAGATCTTCTTCCGTGCCACAGTTCTCTCTGCATGGTGTTCGTTAGACGGAATGGTTGGCCCCCAAGCACCTGGAGTCCGAGATTTCTCGTTGTATCGATCACTCTTCAGACTGTTTCTTAGCTGTTCTTAAATTAAAGCTACAGATTGAATCCTCCTCCTCCTCCTTCTCCTCGTTTTTCTTCTTCTCCCCCTCCTCCTTTCCCTTCTTTTTAAAATTGGTGCCAATTCCTAATTTATTGTGGGTGGCACAGAGGGAATTCTTCACACTTCATTTCGTCCTGCTTCCCATTCCAGAGGCTCCCTCTTGTATATCCTGTGTCCCCAGCTAAACCTTCCCCCAACCCATCAGGGCAGGATGTGAGCTCTTCTTTACTATCTTTCTTTCTTTCTTTTTTTTAGATTTTATTTATTTATTTGAGGAGAGAGAGCACAAGAGGAGGGGTGGTGGGCAGAGGCAAAGGGAGAAACAGACTCCCCGCTGAGCAGGGAGCCCGACGTGGGGCTCGATCCCAGGACTCTGAGATCATGACCTGAGCCGAAGGCAGACGCTTAACCCACTGAGCCACCCAGGCGCCCCTGAGCTCTTCTTTTCATTACAGCCGCTTTGTGGCTGAGGAGAACCTTCCCTCTTTGGTTTGAGCCTCTCGGTACCCATTTAAAGTGTTTGTTTCTGTATATTAATTTTTTCCCCTTTCCCCAGCTCTTTAAATCTTTGTTGCCCCCCCAACTCTGACAATAGTGTGGTATATAAGGCGGCATTTGTCACCACGAGTGTGCAGAAGGGAAACTGGGGCCCAAACAGCAGTGTGGGGCAGTGGGAAGAGTCTGGCCTTGCCTGGTGGCTTGCTGGCTGCAGATCCTTGGAAAGGCACACAACTTTCCAGGGCTGTGTCCTCCTGGGTCGTCTGGGAAAGAGATAATAAGATTTCTGTCCCCGTAAGGTGGTGTGGTGATGGAGTAAAGAGGAAGGGCTTCCAGGCTTCAGGGTCTGGCTCCACCGCTCAGTTCTGTGGTCTTGGGCAAGTCAGCAGGTCTGTTTCCTACTTGTTAAATTGTGATACCCACAGTGACTCTGCAGGATTGTTGTAAATATTAGAGGCAATCGCTGGGAAGTCCCAGCACCATGCCTAGTCTGTGGTAGGATGTGGTAGCTGGCCCGTCTCCTCTACCCTCTGGGACTCAGCTGTTTGTCCAAAGGATCCCCCGTTGTTCATGGTGGGAGCCCAGGGCTCCTGAGTGGGGCTTCCCGTAAATCTCCAGAAGGACATCTGGATACCTCCAATGCAGTTGAGCCTGGGGCAGATGAGGTGTGGTTCAGTGAGGGTTAGCTGTGGAGTGCGACTTCCAGCTGGGGACTCTCAGCAAGGTGGCTGGGGACCATTGAGGGTACACACCAAGAAACGATGAGTCATCAGGATACCTGGCCACTGATGGGTAACCCCTGAGCCATTGCAAATCTACCCTACAGCCCCAGTAGTGGCTGGGAGATCATTCTGTGGGCTCCTTTTGATTTTCACGTTGAGGGAGGGGTGTGGCTGTCCCTGTCCCCTGCTCGCTGGGGTGCAGTGACGGTAATGATGCCCCTTATTCAGGGTCTTTTGGGAACCAGGCAGTGTGCTACTTGCTGATCTCTTTGAGACCCCTGCAAGGAGGCGCTGCTAACCCTGTTTTAACAGAAGACCAAGGGCCGAATGGCCAGTGAGGGATGGAGTCAGATTTGAACCCAAGTCTGCTGGGCCCCAAAGCTCATGTTCCATGCATGAAATTGTATGAATTTTCTTAAAATACCGCCCCCCCATGATGCTTCTCCAGCAATAATCTTAATAATGGAATGCTTGTCCACATTCCAAAACCCACACACTGTCTGTCTTATCAGCGCTGATCAACTGATTTTTACTACTGGCCAAACTGAATTTAACCAACTCAGCACTACTGAAAAGAAAATAGGCAAGAGTGCCAAAAACTTGGTCTAAAATTGGAGGGAGAGCAAGGTGTCCCCTATTGTGGATGCCTTGTGCCAGCTTAGGATGAGAGAGAATTGCACCTTATGTGTGTACATATGCACCTTATATTCCTGGCTTGCCGTAGGTAACTTCTTGGGTACTTCTAAAAAACCTACAAATCTTTCATGCTTGCCTTGAACACCACAGTGACTGAAGCATGGTGTGAGGCCAAGAACCAGTTTGGTCCTTATTACAAGCTTCCTTTCATAGCTAGAACATGCCGTGCTCCTTCTCATCACAGGACCTTTGCACAGGCCGTTCATTGTGCTGGAAACACCTTTTCTCTCCTGTTTCTCTCCTGCCCTCCCTGTTTTGCTTCACTAATGTATTCTTAGGGCTCTGATTAAGGACCAGTTCCTTTGGAAAGCACCACTGACCCTTTTCCATGCTAGGTCTACCCCCGTCACATGTTCTTATAGCAGTAGCCATACTTCTTTAGAGCACATCACTATTACAGTTACTTCTAGTTTGTTAATGTTTGTTCTCCCACTAGACTATAAGCTCCATGAAGGCAGGGACCACTTTGGTCTCACCTGTCCTCTGCCTAGTGCCTTGCACTTGCGTGGTACATACCATCACTCAGTCACCATTGGATGGATGAATGGATGTTTGGAGAGATGGATTGAGCCAATTAAACCTCACTTCCTCTCCCTTAACTCCAGCCAGTATGGTCTTTTTTTTAACAGGGTAGGGAGGTTTTAATTACCTGCTTCCATGTCTGTCTTGGGCCTCCTTGAGGGAGAACCCATCTTGAGAACCCTGGAGGCCAGCGCAGCACCTGACATACAATAGATGACCAATAACATTTGGCTCTCTGGTTGCCTCAGTATAGCTCTTGCCCGTGAGACAGCCAGCTCCAGGGACTCAGGCTGTGGCCAGGGAGCTTGCTGAGAGTCAGGACAGCGCGTTAGTCGTGGCAACTGAGGGAAGCACGTCCCTGCTTCCCACCCCACACCACGGCTTAGTTTCTTGCTAATGTCTTCTGTGCTGGTTGCCAGTTACTATATTGACTTATTTGTAAACAGTTATTCCCATAACCTTCTCTTCCCCAACATACAGAGATAATGATACACAATCTTTGTAACAACACAGACATCGCTTCAAAAGCATTCTGTTGCTATAGGGCTGTTTATGATGTGCTTCTCGCTAGAATTTCATGAGCAACAAACTTCCAAATTGCAGATGATTTAGCATTTGAAGCAGGGAGTGAGACTATATGAGTGATCGCGTTAAAAAAAAAGACTTTGAAAGGGGAAGTTTTTCTTCTGTGGAGTTATCTTCTAAAGTTTAAAATAAGAACTACTTAAAAGCTGAGAGTTTAGAGGAATGAACACTTTCTCTTAAACATTCAAATGGGTGAAAATGACTTGTAATCTCTCCCTCAAGTATTAAGGCAATAGGCATTTAAAGGCTTTTTTGGGAGCTGGCTGTCACAGGCAAAGGATTTCTCATTTAAAAAAAAAAATCATTTTTATGGCATTAAATAGTAGGAATGAACACCAGCAGCCCTCTTGACATCTCGGAACTGATTTATTTTCTGAAATGTCCCAGTCCGTTTTAATAGATAACACTTTGTTCTTCCTGTTCAGGGCAGTAGCTTTGGCTGGGGTTGCCCTAGTTAGGGCTGGGACGTTTTGACTAGGTTCCATGAGCCCCATGCTCCGTAACCTGAACCCAGCGAGTTCCACTGGCTCTGTCCCGACACTTTCCCTGAAGTTCCTGCAGTGGCCCTCCTTCCCGGAGAGAGACTCTCTGATCTGTAGTCCAGAGGGTGAATTTGGCATCAGCTGCATTGCTAGCCACCCTCTCAAGAGATCAGCCAGACATCTTGGGAAAGCCTAACTCTGTATAAACCTCTACTGAGGCTATTCAACTGTGGTTTGTGGAATGGCGCGGGCTGCAAATTGCTTAGCCGTCCACGAGACGAGTACAGAAATGGTGAGGAAGCGCTTAGAAACTTCCATCCCAGTTGGACAGAGTAATCTGTTGAGTCGGATAACTGAAGAGGTGCTGCTTTGTATGAACATCTTTTTCATTTCATTTGTCCACCAGTTCATTTTCATTACCTTTTATAAAAAGAGTTCTCTGCAATGGATTGGAAATTAAAACACAAAGACAACTCATCCTTCCTGCCAAGTTCTTTGGGAAGGCCTGTGGGTAGCACTTGTGAGCTGCCTCTGCTCCCCTGTGGGACAGGTAGGCTGTTGAATGAATTTGGGGAAATCACAGCACTTACCAAATTATATTGTAATGAAACATGTGCACGTCTCTCTCTCTCTCTTTCTCTCGACCGATTCTTGAGAGCAGGGAGTGCATCTAATTCATCTTTTTAGCCTCATTCTTCAGATCCCCGCATGGCACATCGTAGGGTGGGGAAATGTTTGTCCCATCCATGCCTGCCTGTTCCCCGAGGACATGAGAGTGGGTGAGGCCAGCCTCAGGAACTCCCTGGGCTTCTGGATGGTATCCTCTGCAGGATGGTAATGGAGAGCTAGGAACAAACCCTTTCCTTCTCTTTCCTCTGCAGAACCGGGCCTCCCCTTCCCACCTGCCCAGAAGCATGAGAGCAGCATGACTGGCCAGCTGCAGGAGAAGCCCCCAGAGCCAGGCCCCCAACTCAACCATCTGCTGCGGAGGTCAAGGTAAGCTTGCTTGCCTTTCTCCTGGAAGGCTCAGGCATTTTTATTGTAACTAATACTCTGTGCTTCTGTGATCTCGTACCACGTGCTGGAAGAATGGGGTTTACTGGCACATGGGTGGGCTTAGAGAGTGCATGGCAGCCTAGCAGGGCAAAGCCTGCTCACTGCACTTAGTAGAGAGGCCAGTGATGGAGAAGAAAGGGTGCCAAATTGAAGATCAGGGGACTAAAGCTCTCATTATTCCTCCACCACCTCCTGAATCTGGGACCTTCCGCAAATCTTTTGGGGATTACATACCCAGGGAATTTGGGGTGAAGGAATCTCTGGAAAGAATGAGCATTAGAAGGTCAGTTAGTCTGTAAGCTGGGACAGGGTTGTAAGGGGTCTTAAAGGATCAGCCAGGCCATTCCTAACCAAAGTTGAACAGTGAATTATTGGAAATTTCTTCCTAATTTGGGTACAACTCTTGTTCCCTGTGATTCCTGTCTGCCTCTCCCTGCTATGCCCTTTGGAACCACAAAGACTGGGCTTTCCAGATCTCTTCCACATGAGCCTCCTTCAGATGGGAAGATGGTGTTCATGACTCTGCTTTTCTTGTTTGTATCCATTCTCCCTGGAGCCTGGCCCCACTCACCTTGGCCTCTTGTCCGTCTCCGTGTTGGAACGGGCTCCCGCACTCACTGAGCCTCTTCCCGCCTCCACAGAGAATTCTCTCTGCTGACCATTCTTGGGTCAGGACATGTTAAGAGCCTCCTTTATGACAGTCACTGCGCTAGACTCAAGGTGCATCAAGACAAAACAGGTTTGGATCCTCGGAGATAGTTTGAAAGAAGCATAACCCCTTCGGCGTGCTCCCTTTTCATATTTTATCTCTCTTCAACTTTTTTCTCAAACGTTCCATGAGCGCTCGAAAAAAATGTGTATTCTCTAATTGTTGGATATAGTTTTCTATATAGTATGGTCAAAATAAATTTGTTCATTGTATGGTTCAAATCATCTATAGTTTGTCCTTTTCTGTTTTTGTCTGATTAATCTGTCAGTTATTGAGAGAAATGTGTTAAAAATCTCCCACTGGATTTGTCAGTTTCTCCTAGTAGTGCTGAAATGCTTGTTTTCTATATTTTAAGGCAATGCTATTTGGTGTCTAGATGCTTAGAATCAGTGTATATTATTGATGGGTTGAGATACATTTCTACCACCTTTATATACTTGCAGCTTTTTCTGCTCTTTCTTTTGGACTGAGCTGTTTGCCCCCCTCGTTCCGTTTTCCATCTTCTTCTTTGGAAGTTCTACGCTCTCTATCTGTTCTTGCAGTGGTTAGTCTAGCTGTTGTAGCTGGCATACTTACCAAAGTCTAAAACTAATCAGGGTCTTTACTTTCCTCCCCAGCAATGCAAGAGCCATAGACTGGTTCAGTTCTCGCCACTGCCTCTCCCGATCTACGTACAATTAGCATCCCATGCTTTCATTCTATCCTGTGTTTTTCCCTACCAGTCAGACATCACTGTTTTATACAGTCAGTGTTGGTACAGATGTACCCACATACTTATCATTATCTTTTCTTACCATTCTTTCATGAATCTCAGATCATTTTCCCTCTGCTTGAAATAAATCCTTTAGCATTATTAGCCTTTAGTGAGAGTCTGGTGGTGTTGAACTCTCAAGTGTTTTTCCTGGTCTGGTTTGGTTTGGTTTGGTTTTTGGCTTTTGTTGGCTTGAGAATGTCTTTATTTTGCTCTCCGTCTTGAAAGGTGGCTTTACTGAATTTATTCTCTTAGGTCACTGAAGCCATTATTTTATTGCTTCTGGCTTTGAAATTGCTGTTGAGAAGTCAGCTGTCAGTCCAATTGCTGTTCCTCTATAAGTGACCTGGCATTTCTCTCTGACCGTGTTAAAAACATTGTTTTGGGGGCATCTGGGTGGCTCAATTCGTTAAGTGTCTGCCTTCAGCTCGGGTCATGATCCCAGGGTCATGGGATCAAGCCCCGCATCGGGCTCCCTGCTGCTCAGCGGGGAGTCTGCTTCTCCCTCTCCCTCTGCTGCTCCCCCTGCTTGTGCTCTCTCTATTTCTCAAATAAATAAATAAATAAATAAATAAATAAAATCTTAAAAACAACAACACACTGTTTTCTTTGGTGTTCTGCAGCTTCCATTACCATGTAACTAGGTGTAAGTTTTTCTGTCTTCATTCTGCTTGGGTTTTATTGGGATTCCTAGAGCTAAAAATGGGTGTCTTTCAACAGTCCTGGAAATTTCCCATCCTTCATTTCTCTGAATATTGCTTCTTTTCCATTCTCTTTAGTATCTTCTTCTGGAACTCCTGTTAGACTTATGTTAGACCTTCTCACTTTCTGTTCTCTGTAGCTCTCAACCTCTCTTTCATATTTTTCATCTCTTTGTCTCTCTGGGCTGCCCTCTGAATAATTTCTTCAAATCTGCCTTCCATTCAGCTCATGTATTCTGGGTCTCAAATGCTCTTTTTTTTTTTTTTTTTAAAGATTTTATTTATTTATTCATGAGAGACAGAGAGAGAGAGAGAGAGGCAGAGGGAGAAGCAAGCTCCCAAGGAGCAGGGAGCCTGATGCGGGACTCGATCCCAGGACCCTGGGATCATGACCTGAGCCGAAGGCAGACGCTTAACCATCTGAGCCACCCAGGCGCCCTCAAATGCTCTTTAATCCACCCACTGATTCCATCCATTTTCCTTTTGGTTGTTTTATTTATCATTTCTAGGATTTCTGGCTCATTATTTTTCTGCTTGGTGATTTTTTCCTAGTCTCTTATTTCTGCTCCTTTTTGCAAACTTCTTTTTTAATTTCTTTAATCTATGGAAGTAGCTATTTAGAAATTGTAAACTCTCATGTCTGGGAATTCCAGACTCTGAAATCCTTGGAGGCCTAGTTCTGCTGTCGGTTATGTCTGCTGGCCAGTACTCATGGTGCCTTGTTTCCAGCAAGCTGCTTATTTTCCTTGAAACTTTGAGAATTATTATTATTTTTTTTAAAGATTTTATTTATTTATTTGAGACAGAGAGAATGAGAGACAGAGAGCATGAGAGGGAGGAGGGTCAGAGGGAGAAGCAGACTCCCTGCCGAGCAGGGAGCCCGATGTGGGACTCGATCCCGGGACTCCAGGATCATGACCTGAGCCGAAGGCAGTCGCTTAACCGACTGAGCCACCCAGGCGCCCCTTTGAGAATTATTTGAGGTATTCATTGACATTGACTTTTCCAGAGAGAATTTGTATTAATTTCTGCTAATTGTTTGGGGTCAGTAGCAACCAAAAATCACTTTAAGTTAATTTTCTACCCGAGAGTTCTCTGGTTACATAAGAAACATGAATTCAAACTCCAAACCCGTGTGAGGTCTAGCTTGTGGTTACATATTTTCAGGAGAGGGGTGCCTGGGTGACTCAGGTAAGCGTCCGACTCTTGATTTTGACTCAGGTCATGATCTCAGGGTCCTGAGATAAAGCCCTATGTCGGGCTCCATGCTCAGCACAGAGTCTGCTGGAGATTATCTCCCTCTCCCTCTGCCCCTCCCTGCCTTCTCTTTCCCTCTCTAAAAAAGAAAAAAACCCACAAATTTTCAGGAGAGATTTGTCTCCCATTCCACCAGCCCAAGGTCAGGTTTCTTTGCAGTTTCCTTCTGTGTTGTTCATTTATTTCTCATTGACTGAGCGTGGAGCCCCAACTTTATGGAATGAGGGTTTTTTCCTCCTGTCTCTTGAACACTGTGCAGCTCTCATGGCAGACATAGAATCTCTAGGGTTTGACAGGAACCCTCAGGGCAGAAGTCAGCTTTGCTGCTAGCTCACCTCCCAGGATTCCTGCTTTGGGGCTGTGTTTGGTCTTTGAAGAATCCTTGCATTGGTCCGAGCTCAGTGATGTGTATCCAATTTTCATATTTTAAATTTTATCCAGCATGTTAGTTATTTCGATTGGGAAGGTCAAGTAGGGTATCTGGTCTGCCATACTGCCCGAAAGTATATCTTCTTTCTTCTCCGCCATAGCTCCATACGGCAGGAATTACTAGTCCTTATCACAGAAGAGTGAACCACAGCTCGGTGACAGCTTGTAACCGGCTGCAGTCACAGGGCTAGCAGGTGATGCACTGTGAAGAGTTCGTTCCTTCCTGTCCGCTTTTCCCACTTTCCCTCTCCCCAAGGTAACTCTTGACCATTTTTGGTGGATGAACTTTATGCTCACAAAGGATATGAGTCCCTACCAGAATGCTTTAAATAGCTGGGCAGCTTTGTAAAATTTGTTTATGAATCTATTGTTTATCTTCCTTGAGAGAGGAAATGGCTTCTGCATATTTTGTGGCCTATTTCTCCAGCAGTCACCAGCAACTTTCCTGCTTCGTTCCCACTCCTCAAAGGCCTGCTGGACCCAATGCCAGACCCCATGTGCACCTCCTTCAGATCCCAACTTCCTCTCCTCTGCATGCCACTCTCTCTTTCCCACTCTCCTCCCTTCCCTTGCCCCCACCCCCATCCTTTCTGCTGTTGGTTTTTCTGTCTCCTGGTGTGTGCCGTTCATCGGAGGGGAGGCCACAGAGCACCGTCATTAGGCTTTTTGAGCTTTGGGGGCAGGGAGAAGGAACTGAGTTTGAAGCTTGCTCTGCTACTTACTAGCTCGGTGTCTCTGAGCTTCAGTTTCTTCATCTGTAACATGGAGACAATAGACAGAGCTACTTAAGGACTAAATAAGACAGTGCATGTATGGGGCACCCAGGTGGCTCAGTGGGTTGAGCATCTAGCTCTTGATTTCGGTTCAGGTCATCATCTCGGGGTGGGGAGATTAAACCCCATGTCAGGCTCCACACTCACCCTGTTTCTCTCTCTCTCTCTCAAATAATAAATAAATTTTTTAAAAAGTGCACATAGAGCTCATGACAGGAGCTTGGAGTCTCACAGCCCTCAGTCTATGATAGTCAATATCGTTATGACTAAGACACACCCTTCAAGCCCCGAGCTTTTGTTCAGTGATGCTTTTAAGTGGA